ATAAATGACCTAAATTTAGCAAAAATTAATCGCATTTTATGTGTCTATTATGTGATTGCATCTGTCCGGTGTCTCTAATCGTTTTTTCGATTATTTTTTGATTGTTTTTTTGATTGTTTTTCCAATTTGTTTCTATGCGTTTATTGTTTGTAACACCCCCTCAAATAAGAGACAAATTTAGCTGCCCAATACAAAAGTATTGGAGCAGCATTTTGTTCCAAATCAGTATTGGGGGTTTTTTAGAATTGGGTAGTATGTATAATTGATTGACTGATTCATGCAAGTGACTTATTGTGTGGTTCTGTAGTCTCTTACATTATTGTGATTTATGTTTGATCGTTGATTTATTGTTTGATTTATGTCATAATGATGCAGTTTTTTGATTAGTAATCATTAGATCATATTTAAGGGAAATTGGTGTTTTTCCCAGGAAGGGTAAGTTCTGTTTTTTCTGCTAACTCGACTTTGTCTGGTTTTTTCGTCTTCTCTCTTGCCCTCCCTTAGCATTTGTTTATTGAGAATTTACCCTATTGGGATGAGTATTTTATTTGGGATGTCATGGCTTGTTAGGTTAATAGCCATTTCACGCTGTTTTATAGTCTGTTGAAATGACAGTCATTTGTTTGAGTTTTTTGAGGTTATGTTAAGTGGCCTGTCGGATAACAGTCACGGTTTATTTTGATTTTTTGCAACAAGAGTGGCCTGTCAGGACGACAGTCACAGAAGTTTGGTTGCGACGGGGTTTTTCCAGTAGGATTCTGGTTTTTTTTGCCCTGCCCACCAAAAAATTACCCCTATGATAGCATGCACAATAGACTATAGCTTAGGCATTTCATACGATACTTTTGAAGTCTGTATTTGATATTTAGCACATTAGGCACTTTAGCGGAAGGGACAGATAACCCATAATTGATTTTCATTTGATTTCATTTGATTTTTTTGTTTTCTTAATCATTTTTTTGATTATTTTTTGATTGTTTTTTTGATTGTTTTTCTGATTTGTTTTCATGTGTCTATTGTTTGTAACACCCCTCAAATGAGTGACAAAATAGCTGACCGAACCATCCCTAATTGGTATGTTACACAATGACCTTATAATTAGATTTGATAGAAATCACAGAACTGCCAAATTTCTGCACCATCACTATTTTACTCAACCTGGGCCATGTGGGTGAGGCGCTTACATTCCTTCTTAGCCATCATTCGATCTGTTGTATGTACATATGTATATATGTCATCTTAATATATGAACGCTGTTTTAACTGACTTATGTTTTGGTGCCCTATCGCTATTGGAAAATCCCAAAAAAATTAGGTCTCCACCAAATAAAATGACAATTGCTAAAACTAGAATTATTAGTACAATTGAAAAAAAAGTAAATTAGTGTGGCAGCTATTACCGCTTATCTTATAAAAAATTAATTCACAGATAACTTTGCTAACAGAAAATCAATTCACAGGCAAGAATATTTTATGGCTGATTAACTCACAAGTTCATTTTTTAGATGTTATTTCACAGAATAATTCTATGTAGAATTGGAGTTAAGGTACGGATCTATCACAACAGATACTGAGAAGAACTGACCCTATTTTAATAAGAAAACTTGAAATTTTTGAGTGTTTAAGTACTTTTTTTTGTTTTAGAATCAGCCAAGAATAAAGGTAGCACGTGATACTGTGCAGCAGTACGATTATGTTCAACAAGTGAAGCTTAGACTATACCCAAATGGTCTATTTAAATTTATAATATTTGCTGATTGAATTGATACAAGTAAGACCAGACCAATTTTATTCTCTGTTTTACATTAACCCCTTCATAGTAAAAAAAATTTTCTAGCAACAACTGGAAATTTCTGATGTAGACAGTGAACAAAACCTAAAATACGAGCGTAGTTTGGGGAAAATGTCGGGAAATCCTGAAAAAGAAATTTTGGTTTAGAAGATAGGCGAAAAAATATTCTATATATATAATACGTTCAAATCCATCCACTCCAGAAGGTAAGGGGTAATGTAAAACAGAGAGTTAAATTGGTCTGGCCTAAATAGAAAATTATAGCACCTTATTATCTGTACTCATCAACTCATCAACTCATCAAACGATAATATCACTATTCCATATTACCTTTCTCGTAAATACAACAATTTCATATTTAAAATTTAGTAAATCATTATTATAAATTGTATGATATTGGGTCATATAAGATGATGAATATCACAAAAATTTGTTCTGTCTTAGTTAATGATAGGCATTGGCCACACAAAAAATGCGCAGAAGATCCTTGATATTGATTGGCTAAAAGCAACGATCAAAAAATTAGGCTGGAATTACTCATAATTTTACTAATGAAATCACAGCCGCCTATTAAGTGAAAATTGTTACTGGATCAATTTTATCATAATGCAGGCTTATTTTTAAAAAATTTTCTATTTTTGTAATGAAAAAATTAAAAAGTAAATTCTGGCCAGAAATTAGTAAACAATTATGTAATGCCAGAGGATCTGCCACGCAATTTTTGTGTGGCACCTAGGGTTAATTACAAGATTGTGCCGTGCAGCGACACAAGTAAGCCATTTATTTACTTTGATAGAGCAAATTTAGCGACATTAATTTTCGCATTGCTAAATATTTATAAATATCTCTGGATCTTTTTACATAAAAAAAAAAGGTTAGAATCATAAATTTCAAATTTTCTAATGATGATAATTGGCTTGCCATTTAAAGTGGTTAGTTTTTAAATTTTGGCCATCTTTTGATTCGATTATTAAAAAACAATTTATACCACACGCATGGCAAATGTCATGATGTTTTAGGATTATTGCGTTTTCAATAATATACAGAACAATTGAAAATAATACCTTTCTAAAAATGTATGAATGAAAAATTATTATTTCTACCGATATAGGAATTTTCAAAATCAGAATTGGTTACATCAAAAAAAGGTGAACGGAAACATATCAATATTTCATGTAATCGTACTTAGGTTTGGTAAATTTAATAGAGACCTCAAGTCTCAGCATTAGCTGTGATAATTAAAATAAAAAGATATTAATTTTCAAAAAAAAACAGTATATGGACTATAGTGTTATACTTAGTGCTAATATTGCAATTAATATCATGTTTCTGGTTTTAACGTGCCTAATTACATATGTATCGGTATAGTACAGGCTGCATAATTTAGTATTTAAAATTTTTGATATCTCGATTTTGTCATCATGAAAATACCTTCAGTCGCAATTATTATTAAGATTATTCAGAATGCATAGATATTTGAGGCATAAGAGTATTGTCACCTTTTTTACAAGTTATATGGTAATATATCAAATAATTATTATTGCTATCTGACTTCTGGCTTTAACCAAATTTACCGGTGTACAGCCTAAAAAAAATGTTACCGGGATGAATATGTATTTGAGTAGTTTAATTGCAATGTCCAAAAGAATTAATAGTTTTTCTTTCTAATCATTGAGTAGAAATTTATTGCAAGGTATTTATTAAGGTCCGGCTTATTTACATAATGCAAAATCATTTTAAGCCTTCAGAATGTTATACCATAAAAACCTATCACTCTTCAGAATCCATCTATTAAATTAAAATGTGTCAAATAATAATTTATTTATAGATTATTTTTGTGAATTTCCTGCCTCATTTATATAGTTCTTAGATGAAATCTCGAGGTTTCGCACTGACGAAACCTAGTTTCGTCTTTCGTCAATTAAAATCTTAAATGACGAAATGACGAAACTGTAAAGAGTGACAAAACTAATAAAAGACGAATATACAAAATAAATGTTGAAAACCATTGAAGATTATGTGTATAAAAATAATAAGCAAAAACAGAAATTACAAAAAATTATATTGTATATTAGGCGCTTGAATTGTTTAAATGGAATTAGAAATGAGTATTCTATATTTTATTATACTAGTACACTACATAACAGTTCTAGTGAGAAATCATTTGGTGCTTACTTTGTGATCTTACAAATCGGGGTACACAGATTATGTACAGTACGATTAAAAAACCAGTACTGTACTGTAGGGTATGGTACTGTATTACATATATACTGTAATCGTACAATACAGTATGTATCTACAGTATATAACTTATAATATACTACAAATTGTATACTGATAATAACGATACGATTTTTTTTTTTTACTTGAGTGTAAAATGGCAACGATTTTTTTTTTTTTACCCGATTCTATACAATTTTTATTTTTATTTTTTTTTTCAAGCAACTGATAATATGAATTTATATACTTCGAACCTATGTACTTATACATGTATTACATTTTTATTTATGCTTATATGCTAATTTTTTTAAAAAAAATTATTTTGCAGTTTAGTACAACTAATTTAATATTTGGCAAGCAATTGTCAAAGATATTATTAAAACGGAATGCTACCTTTTTATATAAAAAATCTTATTTAGTATTTAATATTAGACTTAAATTATAATACTATAATTAATTACTTAACTGCTTTAAACCATTGAGTTTTTCCCACAATGCAATTTCTTCTTTAAGAATTGCTAAATTTTCCCACTGTAATTCAAGTTTTTTATTCTCCCATTCAATATAATTAGTTTGTTCTTGTGTTGTAGGAGCAGAAGTTGGTATAGAAAAATCCTCGTTTATTTCATTATTTAATGTTTGATTTTTGGGCTTTTTTCGTAATGTAGATCTTGTGGCAGATTCTTTGCTTTTATTCTTTCGCTTTTCTAAATATATAATGTATAAACAATTATGTTAATTATAACAGTGTTAGAGCGCAATACAAATTTTCTGAATTTTAACCAGAATTATTATCTAATTAGTATTAGATTTAGAACTCTTATATGTAAAATGTGTTTCTTTATTTTATTTTGCTGCAATACAATAGTTTTAGAAATTTGTAATATACTCTGATGCTGTTATTATTTTGTTATTGTATAAATTTAAAAAAACTTACGACTTATATTTGAATTCTTTGTTAAACGACCTAATTCAAATTTATTTCTATAAGATTCACGCATATTATATTGCTTATATGTTGTTGCTAAAGACCATTGCCGTTTATCAAAATCATCACCTCTATAGATATAATTTAAAAAATTTGAAGTTTTTTAACATATACATATATAGTATAAAGACTTTATACATACCGATATATTGCTGCTAATAATGTTAAAGATCGTCCATCCTGGTTTATATTTGTATGAAAGGATTCACTAACATTAGTATTATTTGGAGTTTAATTCCATATATTGACCTCTATTTTAGTAAATGCTAGTGAAAGTCCAGCCAATATCCATGGCTTGTATTTACTTTTAACCCAGTCTGTTTTTTAATTAAATTAAATTAAATTAAATAAAATTTATATTATTTATTTAAAAATAATTGTAAAAAATAAAAAACCTATTGCTTCTGATTCACCCGATTTTTTAATTTTTTCTAATGTATTTAAAACTTTATCTTTCATATCCAATTTAGAAACAGAATATATTAATTCTTTTGTCTTGTCAGATATAGCTTTATTTCGAATATTTCTATAGTATAAATAATTTAATTAGTAATAATAAAATATGTAATTTATATATAAGTAAACTTAATATTAAA